AGAATTTAAACAAAATTTGAAAAATTCACAACCCATCAGCCACGATTCTGTGAATTTCTGTGGATTTTCAATTCATGGACTTAAATTGCTTCTGTTAACGGCTATTTGAAAATTAGGTGAATGCATCTCTCTATAGGGCACCGCAAAAGTGGAATCAAATCATCGTCATCATCATAATTTATTTGCCTTTTAAACAAGACTGGCTTATGGGAGAGGCCACCTTACTTACATTAATATATTTAAAATTAGAATAAGTGCTACGAATGTGCGGCTTGGCCAATCAGTAATTATTTAAGTAAAAACTCTCGCATTCTCGTCTTAAAGCTATGAAGATTCGACGAACGAGTGAATGAAACAGGAAGAGAGTTCCAAATTTTAGGAACTTGGTAGAGAATTGTAAATTGCTTGAGAATGGCAGGACACATATGCGTTCGATAATTACCAGCTGTCCATGTCAAGTCCAAATAACGTTATACCCGATATACCCGATATTGTATATGATATTGCACGTGATTGTATGTGCCTGTTTCGAAACAAAACCTGTACCTAGTTTAATGAAAACCACTCTTTGCATTTCGTTTTTGCAAGGGGACTATTTTCGCCCGATTCGATATTGAAATTTTGGAATTTGATCCGCTCTTAGTGTTAGATAAAGATAGAGGGGAGATCCTGGAAGTCCAAAAATTCAACCTGGAGGTCACCAAGAGATCTTTTAATGTTGCTGATGCGATGGAATTTGACCGTCTTCCGTGCCATATTAAATCAAAGGAATCCTTCACTGAATTCGTAAGGGAGACTTGAGACTTTTTCCTTAATTAGATGATAAGTTTTATATGTAGATGTATCCTTCTTTTCATATATTTTCGGCCGTGTGACAATTCCAAGAGAATTTTTACCTTTTAGACCTTTAGTATTTTTACTCATGTACTCTAATAACAGGATCTCCTTTGATTCCAGTGCTTATAGCACTGACGTAGCTATCCTGTATAAATATTATTATCATTAATTGTTATCCTTATTATTATTATTATTATTATTATTATTATTATTATAATATTTTGGAACCGACCTGATGCCAGGCGCCTAATTTTCTTGCATTAAATTTGACTGTTAACTTACATTCTAATTTGAATTAATTCCTCACAGACATAGAAGGCGGCCATAAGAAGAGTAACAACTTCACAAAATCCACGTAGAGCATCTGCCACACCGCTGTACTGCGTGGGATCCGTTTTTGTTGAGGCATGAAGCAGAGAGTATGTTAAGAACATCAAGAAGATGACATACAGGGCTGCTTGAAGGCTGCAGACAAAAATATCACATGTGAGTATAAGTTTGATACACAAAAGCAAAAAAATACCGCAACTCAGCAGCATATCAATCGATCAAGGGGAGCGTGCCGTAAATTTTTTTGGGATAAATCCCAAGAATCAAGAGAGATTTCGCTGTGAAATGTATATATATCAAATTTACCTCAGAAACCAAAAACCGTAGTTCTTCCATTTCGTTTTAATGAGCATTCTGACCGCAGGATGTTGTAAAGCCTCCTAAATGAAGATCGTACAAAACAATCGTTAACAATTAGTAATGATGACCCGAGATCTAAATTACACACGTCCTGTGAGTTCACATCGTTTTTGGATGTCGACGAGAAGGAGCTGAAAATTCCACTATCCCTTATGTAGGTAGGCAAATAAATCATTTACGATGTATCATTAGGTCTGAAACTAAAAGAAAAAATGAGTTTATTTTATCGCTGAACCCTACCTTATTATTACTTTTTGCTATTACATGTAAGCAAGACTTTTCCCGCCAGTTAAAGTATTTGTTCTCTATCCACATGGGTTCATCTGACGCCAAAATCTTTGGGGGCCGTCCCCCATCATCACCCTCCAAGATGTGATAATAAAAGTGATAGTTTAACGGATCATATGGGATTGTATTCCAGGCCCCTTCAACTGCCTCTCTCTCTTCTTCAGTTTCATAACTGTCCTTGCGTTTAGGAAGATGTGGCCAGTGAGGGTTCACCATCTGGTCTAATACAGCCACTACTGTTTTCTGCGCGGGTGGAAAAAAACTAATCAGATTTTTAAGGCCCTTATAAACTAGAAAGAGAATATTGATAAAGCACTATTGTTTGTCGCACTTCCAATGTGCATCGCGACGTCTCTGCTTCACACTTTTTGTCTCCTTTAGGTGATGAGGTGGACTGATTACTCCTCACCTAAAAAAGCATTACATTTTCGAATGCCTGGCTTCGTAAGCTACGACAATTTTTTATATTTTACAGCGACCATGACAGCGGATGACCGTCCAACAATGATTTTGTTTGAATATGAGAAGAGACTAATTCTTCGTATGTCTGCTCTTCACTATTTTAATAGAACTAAATATCGACGCAAAACTAACTTTGATTGGTAAATTTATCAAACCATGAATTTTTATTGATTTGGAAATGGATGACGGCGGACAGAAGTTTTCTCAATGCGTAGTTAAAGTGGATGATAAAAATACTCACCTGCATTTTGGCATTCTCAATGATAGACTTGAAACTAAAACATGATGGCTGGGGGTTTGTCAGATTACCTGGTCTCCAAGAAAATAAACTTTGGACACTAGTGGGAGTAAAAGTAAATGCAAACAGAGCGTTTCATAGCAGAAAAAAAAAACACCTTTAGAAGGGTAGAGTTGGAAGAGGGCAGTAAACTTCACATTTTTCAATTATAATTGATGGGAAGAAAAATTTAAAGATCAATGATTTAACTGCCTAAGGTAGGTAACATTTCAATAAGAAAATATTTATAGCCTTTGTAATGAAAAAACATGTATTCCATAAATCATATCCAGAATTCTTCATTCAGCTTTAGCTACAAGAAGCAATGTACCTTTCATGCCGCATCACTCTAATCAAATATGCTGCCACGTCATCCTTCTCTGCTTCCAAAGCCAACTCGACTGGTAACATAGCCCTTTTTTTGAGGGGTTTTAATTGAGATTTTGTCATCAAAATCAGCTGTCCTGGATAAATCTTCACCAGGGTTTTAGTGACATACAAAAAGCCAAGTTCTGCAGCATAGTGCAGCAATGTCTTTCGAGCTTTGTCATCTTCATCTCTAAACATCTTATATCTATCTCCTAAGTTGAATTTACTTCGTAGTAGAATCTCCAACAACCGATTTATCTAAGAAAGACAAGTCAAACGTTGTCAACCTAAGAGAAGTCTTTAAAACCCAATAATGAACTGGATTGTTGTGAAATAAATGAGATACCGGATTTGTTCAACCCTCTTGAGGTCATATCTCTCATCATAGAGAGCGACTTGCGAAAAAAGTGATTAAAAACGATCAGTTTTATCATGTCTGGTATCGTATAACAGAATTGATCATTGCTTGTGGATTTACATTAACTTTATCAATGTATCATTTGCACTGTCACTGCTATTGACAAAATGATATTTAAGGAAGCATTCAAACTCACCGTGCAGAAAATCATGATCAGAAACTGCAGAAGAAAAGGTTTCAGGTTTTTAGAAATAGACATAGGAGAAATTTCATAATAGCTTTATGTTTTTTATATTACCGACTGTTCAAGGCCTGGAAGACGTTCAGGATTTTCTCTGTATTGCTTAGATACTGGCCACTTCTTTAACATCACTAGAGCTGGATCTTCATCAATCAATTCTCCACTACCCTTGCACCTCTGGATCAGCCTTTCAACACGCTCTTCGTCCATAGCTATTTTCCACGACAATCCTTGACTCTGTCTTACATAAACCTACAAGTTATTATTGCGTTATTATTGAGTTAATTCAATTGAGTTTCAGTCTTAGAAAGAGGATGTCAGGGGTCTAATCAGGCTTCTGGTCTAATTAAGAACAACGCTAAGAAAGGATGACATGTTCAACGAAAAGATAGATATGAAAATTGGTAACGTAACTTAGTTTGGTCAATCGCTGAATAATCAGCAAAAAATTCAGAAGTAATTATATAGCAATAGCCCAAAGCCAAAAAAACAAAATTTTGTTTTTGTGAATTAAAAATCGCCAGTAAATTTACAGATACATTTTACGGGCGCCAGCCGTCTCCCTCCAGGAAAGACTGATGACCACAAGCAAATTACCATCTCAAAAACCCTAATTTGAAGGCTTATTTGAGCCAAATTGGAGACCTGGTCAAGTGTTTTTTTATTACATCAATAACGAAGTTTATTCCGAATCTTTTAACCAGCAAGAAGCCTATTTTAAATACGTAGTAACTTTAGGTCCGGCAACCGCTCACAGTTTTTTTTTCTGTATTCGGCAGTCAGAAATTTTACAAATCTCCTGACAGATTATTCCAAACTTCTTTAGAGTACCAGTTATTTGTTTACAATTGTGTAGCAATTTCAAAACTTACTTTGAGTTTTTAACGGACGAATATTTTGAGCAGGGGGAAAATTTTACAAAATTTCTGACTGATAGACAAGAAGAAGTTTCTAAAATCTGTCCAGCCACTGGACCGATGTAAACACATTTAAACGGTTCCTATGAACCAGCTTGATTGAAAAATAAAGGTTGTGCATCCGACGCAGAGTAATCAATAAATGAAAAGCCAGTATCTGTTTTACCTTATTCCAAAAATCCCCGTCAAGTCCATCTTTAAAGAAATCTTCGTCGCCTTCTTGTTGAGAAACTTGTTTTTGTTGTGCTTGTTTGTTATTGTTCGCTTTTTCGGTGCGGCCTAATAGCTTTTTTTGTGCCGTTTTCATTAGTAGATCATGGTACTGAAGATTCTTACTTAGAAGAAGCATTCGTTTTGGAAGGGAAAAATAATACAAATACTTCTTTCAGATGCTGTAGGAGTCCTTGACATCTCGCGTTGTGAACAAAGACAGCCAAAAACAACAGCCGAATTCGCCAAATTTACCATTGACAAATCCCGCCTTTTCAAGTTGAAAAGCCTGCGGGATGCCATACCAGCGGTCGTGCCCAACTACTGCTTACCTTACAGCTCATTTTTATTCAATTTTATTTTTTTATTTATTCCTTTCATTTTAGTATTACAATACTGAAATTTGTAAATAGAATAGGAGAGATGGTAAGTCATACTGGCATTAACTATCTACTTCACACCACTTACATCCTGAACACCAGGACAATGGGATCGCAATATCTATGTTACCTTGCTACAGTGTGTTCATCACATATATTCAGAGTGGTTACTGCTGAAGCCGGCTTTTCAGTCTTGTTAAAGACTCCGCCAACTAGAAATGAAGATGAACTTTAAGAGAGCAGAACAGACAGGCTTTTTGAAATCTTGGAAGCAAAGGGTTCTTAGAAAGTGTACGTAAGTATGTAGTCGTTGTCGCTTTTTGATTTGAATAAGAAACATCGATACATTTTACGAATAGAAGCGTCCCTTGCTCTCATTTTTCAGGGCTTTTAACCCTCCATTTTTCATGGCTTTCAACCCTTCATTAACACTTGGTGTTGGTGTGCAGAGTAGAAATTCCAGACAAAACACCTTGAATAGGTGGGTACATAATATGAATACAATTAAAATTTCAAACAGTCGAGTTCTTCCACACAAGAGAACATCCCAAACGTTCATTTCACACGCATTATGGTATATATTACAACTGCAAATTGTGTCATCCACTGCAATTCATTGGCACATAATCAGTGGAAGGGCGGACGGAGGTAAGCAGCGTTGTCGACTGATCATTACTCTTGTAAACAAGCGTTCATCTTTCTTAATTCAGGTCAGTGCCGTAAATCATATAACTTCGAAGTCTTTGACCCGCTTACGGGTTCGCTAAAGAACGTTTCACTATATATTTACAGAGGCATTTCGATACTCTGCATCTTCGTGAGCTGAGCTCTGAGTGGAAAATGAAATCTGTTGTTTTTCTGTACACTGGAGGTGACAGCACCAAAGCCGAAAAACTGAGAGACTATTTGCATGTCAGGCTGCGAAAATTGGTGAACTCAATGAGAAGTGTCACCGACATTTTAGCAGAAGACCAAGATTTCATTTGGGAACTCCGCAACAGTGACTGCGTGGTACTAATCGGGTCTCGCCGAGCCTCGTCCCTCATTCAAAACAAACAGCAGGAAAACGAGGACGAATACGTGATCTTCGACGGCAAAGCTCTACATGAAGAGTTTACAGAAAACAGAGCCCTAGTCAAGGACAAACTGATCATCGTCTATTTAGCGAACAGAACCAAGAATGACTGGATCCCAGATAATTTTGATGAGAAAAGAGTGTTTGATCTACAAGGTGAAAATATCGAGGAAGGCCCTCTGCTTTACCAACTTGAATATTCTATAAGACGAATTTTGGGTGAGACCATACTGGATTGGTAGAACTACACGGACAACAAATGGCGATACTGTCAAGGAAAACTTTATTTTCAGCCAATTAAGTCACTTAATGTTCCAGCCCGGATAATCAGTTCTAAAGCCCGATATCTATTTAGTGATTTATAATTGTTTTTGTATGTAGTCGATCAGAAGAAACATTCATGATTGTAATTATCGCGGAAATGAGACATCATAAAGTGGACTTATACTGCAAGGAAGACGTCCGTTTTTTGTTAAAAACTGTCTGCAATCAGAAACTAAAGAAACTATTTCGGGACTAAAATCGTAAACGCTTATCGGTAAAGAAAACGAAAAAAAAAATGAAAAAAAAGAATTGTGTGAAAACTATTGTTTATTCTTTCCATTCAAATATTTTTAAGACTGCTTAATGAACAATTACATGCAATGCAGCTTCGCAAAATTAAAAAAAAACGTGGTTACAGAAACTGGACTTTGATATGTGGTTAATTAGGCCGATGATGACATAAGCTTACTATGAATCAGAGGCAATTTTTTTTCATTTAATAAGTGCTGAAGAGAAAAGTCTGCTTTTGAGGGCATAGTATTCAACGAAACTGGATGTACCAACGTTATGGACGACTGAGAAAATTTACACTTTTCTCATTTTTCTTTATCTCAGTTGCTAATGTGCGAATTTTTAACATTTGGTTTAGAAAAAAAACCACGTACTAAAAATAATCACAGCTTCAGTCGACCTTATTCTGTCACATAACTTTTATTTCCACTAAAGAAGCTTTCCTTAAATAAGAAGTACCCCATGTATAAAACATTTTAAAATTTTTAGTCACATGTGGGTTGGCCGGATATATTCGAAGGGTTTTAATGTAATGTGTTCTTCGATTGGACTAAAACACTTGCGCCACCTTATTAACCAATCAGATGCCAACCTTAAACCAACTGCCGACTTGATCATTCGCGTTTTCCCGCGCTTCGGGCGGTGTGCATTCTGTATTTAGTTTCAACTCTCGATGGCCATCCTTGTGAAGTTAGCCTGATTGATCGTCGTTGTGATTATTTTGGCTTTAGTTTTACAACACTCACAACTCACTGTCTCAGTAAACTTGATTTAGTTTCAAAAACGAGCCGAGCGTAAAGAAGGGAGGTATTAAAAGCATTAATCTTACCTGATTGCATTCAGTTTCTCTTCCACCGACTCCCAAGGATTGCGATCTTCACTGAATTCAAGAAGCTCTGTAATCAAACCAAGATTACAAGTTAGAATAAAATGAACCCTTGATGTATTAATGCACTAGAATGCAAAATGTGTTTTCATTTTATTATCATTGTTTTGTAATTGTTTATGTAATTTTTTTAACAGAGTATCAGCTCGGTACAGCGCTTTATTTCCCTCACCATGAAGGAATTGAAATAAGAGAGAATAATACAAAAAAGCTTTCCGGCTCTCTAATTACTTTAAAGATCGCTAAATAATCAGAGAAGAGGCTCATAACGTAACTAGCCCTCCTTTCCCTTTACCTCTAGTAGTCTAGCTCCAGCCAATATTTTTTTATATTTTTTTCTTCGCCCTTATTTTTTTCCCTTACAACAGTCTCTACTTCTCAACTAATTATTTGACTTAAAACAGTAAAGGCTGATATCACCATTTGATATATGTAGTAAACCTAAATTCAGAAGCTAAAATCAAGTATTCAGCCAGAGACCTTTGGCGAGTTTCATTTCATTGATCCAGTCTCCTTCCTTGTAATACTTCACGCGTAAATTCTGGAGAGAGAAAGTTCGCTGTAAAACATTGAAATAAACTAATTCCTCCACTTCCTTATTCACATTTGCACGCACGCACGCGCATCGCGATCGTACATATCCTCAGGCTGCCCATTACGTGAAAGCTACATACCAGAAAAGGAAATCTCTACATACGCGAAAGTTGTAGAATACGATCCGCATCATATTCCAGACGAGCGACTTTCTTAGCCTGTGTGTAAGTCGTGCTCATTTTTGCAATGAGAATGTTGAGGAGAATCACAGTCACTGTTCCCATGTATGCCATCATCAACAGAACTGAAAGCCAGCTGCAAGAAAAAATAATCACAAACTGAGGCTAAACTACAAGAATCGAATACATAAGTGACTCATCATCCAATACAGCAGGCCTAGCCAAGTCCCAGTCCCTATTAAAGACCTGATGCCTGATCTTGGCTTTCTTGAACTGGCATTTAAAACTCAATTCGATGTAGTCGTTAAGTGGAAAGAGATGTAAGAGCTTCAAAGAATAGGGCCACTTACTTGAAAGTGGAGTAATCTTCCGCCAATGGATACTGCTCGGACAGTGCACGAAGTCCGCTCAACAAGACGTCTCCAAAACCACTAAAGGTAAAATAAAAACTGAAATTAGTATAGTAAGGTTTTGCGCTTTGCATGCGTTATTTTCACCATCCAAATTACCGCGATCAGCAAATTGATTTTGCAAAAGGGTGAAAATAGTCAAAAATCTAGCCATTAAGAGCACTCGTTGTTTCTTTTACTCACTGATTAAAGTAAACAAATTCCAATGGACTGCTCTCGAATATTTTACCGACTTGTAAGTAACCATACCCTGAATTTTTTTCCCTAAACAACTTCATAGCTTTGTTAAGGAGATATACTCAACAGAGACGCACCGAAGTTCTTGGTTTTCACTGAATCCGGAGTAACAAAGCGATAAAGTCAAGGTACCACAGAAGGAGAAAAAGATCACAATATAAACTGCCATGGATCTTGTCACATCGTGCAAAATGATCTTAGCCAAGGTTTGTGTGTATAATCCTGTAGTCCTAAGAAAGATTTAATGTAATGTTAGGTTAGATTGACGAAGGGATGAGTTCTAATTCATCAGTACTCTTTTCGAACTCAAGTAATCGGTTGGGAGCTGTAGGTTACCTTGACACACATGAAAATTTAAATATCCTCAGGAAGTTGAACAAGAAAGCGAAAGATGTCATCATCCACTGTGCTTTATGATCCATGTATCGTAATGGTACTATACACAATATCAACAGCAGGCCTAACCAGTCAAACAAGGTCATCCACTCTGAAAAATAAGAACGCCCCTCTCTGCAAGAAATCAAACAATTTCATGACTCTGCTCCTCTTCAAAAATGCTTTGGTGTTTCTTTCCTTCAAATGTGGGGTCATTCATTGAGATATGGGGTCAAATGCGGGGTCTTGAAGAAATTTCCACAATAACCCTTGATCTCCATAATTACTTACATTCTTATCTGATTTATCTCCTCACAGATGTAAAAAACAGCCATAAGTAGAGTGACAACCTCACAAAATCCTTGCAGTGAGTCCAAGGCATCGTTGTACTGCCTGGGTTCCAGTCTGATGGAAGCTTCCAGCAGAGAATATGGCATGAACAACAAGAAGATGCAAAACAATGCTGCTTGAAGGCTACAGAAAAGAAAAAGTAATTATATCTACCTCTTCAGGAGTAAAATGGAGAAAGGAAGGAATTAGAAATTCATATGAAGATATAAGAAATTAAATTTTTGGTAACCTGTCTAATATTTTTGTTACCAGCCTTAATTGAGAAATCAAAGGCTTTAAGTTTTGGACAGGACTACCAAGAATTCACAATGTTCCAAGGAATATTGAATAATACTGCACCATACTCCATAGAAGTGCTTTCATCAGCTGATTATGTGTTTAGTGGCAAAAATGAACTCAATACATCTTGACATGTTTTTCTTTTTTTCTGGTTCATCAAATATTGCATAATTCAACACCCATGTTAATAAATGTGACAAAGTTACTTCTAAAATCTTCACTATGGAACCTGCAAATACATCTGTTTTACCTGAGACACAAGTGTCCATAACTTTTCCATTTTGTTTTAATCAACATTCTGACCACAGGATGCTGCAGAGCTTCCTAAGGATAAAAAACACAAACTCGGATTTCTGTCCAAAGCATGGGTTAAGACTGATCTAAGAATCAAACTCCTGCAGTAATATGTATATCATCTACATATAAATCTGAATGCTCCTATATCATTTCTATATATCTTAAGTGACATTTCACACTTTCCTTCAGCTACAGTTTTGTTGTATATTCTGGTAATTTTTTTCAATTTAAACTTACCTTGTTGTTGCTCTTTGCAATGGCATGTAAACAAGACTTGTCTTTCTGGTTAAAATATTTGTTTTCTGTCTGCTGGTGTCCATCTGAGGCCATAATCTTTGGGGGTCGTCCTCCCTCATCTCCATCCAAAATATGATAGTAAAAATGATAGTTTAATGGATCATCTGAAATTGTTTTCCAGACTCCCTCAATTGCCTCCCTCTCTTCTTCTGTTTCATAATTTTCTTGACGTTTTGGAAGATATGGCCAATGAGGGTTCACCATCTGGTCTAATACAGCCACTACTGTTTGCTGTAGAAAACATGAATCATAATACATTCGGTCATAAACATTACTTACATGCACACCAGAAAAGTAATATCCAATCTAATTTTCTTATACAGCAGCAAGCAAAGAGAAAAATACTGTTCCACCTAATTATATAGATCAAATATACTTTCTGAATGTTTTCTTCTCTTTCCTAGAACTTCAAAGTCTCAACCTCAACAATGGGGTATCTTCTAAAAAGATAACAGAGTGGGTTTGAAAATTTTTGATACAAATGCCTCTCTCCAAATTTGAATGTTTGGGTAAAATATTCAAAAGTCAAAAGTGTGACTTACATGGTGTCTATAACTGCTCTATGAATAGCATGAGGAATGCTTTGCCATGAAAGCACCATTCCACCCCCCTCTCCCTCATCCAATTTCCTTCTACATATGTAATCAGATAGAGGAGATGCTTTTCCATCTTGAATCCAAAGTGGTATTTTTGGCTGGTATACAATAGATTTTGCAGTAAAACTACTGGAAACAATCACATTAAACTCAAGGATCCACCTACAACTTCTAATTATACAAGATGTCTATCAAAATTTGTTACTAGAACAAGCTCACCTTCATTTTAGGGTTCTCAATAATTGCCTTGAAACTGAAGAAGGATGGTTTTGGGTTTGTTATACTGCTTGGGGTCCAGAAAAATAAGCTTTGAACCCTAAAAATGACATTGGAGTAAAAGGATTACTTCAAAAGTAAGTCATGGGTTCAAATATTTGATTAAAAATCATGGTTTCCCTCATTCTTGCATTTTGCTTGAATAACTGATTTATTTTAGGGAATTGATGATAAACTTTCTAAACAAATTTGTCTATAACCTGGACTTTTCAAACTTTTCATGTTCCAAAAAAAAATTGATGTTTTGAGAAGACTATTAAACTCTCTTGCCCCTTAACTTCCATTATTAGAAAACTGCTATGTGTTAAGATTAACAATAAGCATCTTCCTACCTTTCATAAGACATAGCTCGAATCAAAAATGCTGCCACATTGTCATTCTCCTCTACTATTGCCAATTCCACTGGTAACATAGCTCTCTTTTTAACAGGTTTTTGCTGATCTTTTGTTTTCATAGCTAGCAGCAAAGGACATTTTGTAACGAGTGTTTTGGTAACATGTAAAAAGCCAAGTTCTGCGGCATAGTGTAGCAATGTCCTCCTAGTCTTGTCAGCCACATCTCTAAATTCCTCATATCTGTTCTCTGAGTTTAGATCACTTTCTAACATTATCTCCAAAAACCGATTTATCTGTAAAACACATTTAAAATATTAATATTTTTATCATTAGAATTATGTAAAATGATAAATGATAGAGTTGGAGAAGGAAAAAAAAATAAAAGATGAGCTGTTATTCCCTACAAGAAAACGTATATCTATTGACCTGTTGCTCAAGTCCAGGCAGTTTTTCAGCATTGTCTTTGCACTGTTTCGATACCGGCCACTTTTTAAGCATTAAAAGAGCTGGATCCTCACTGTCCAGTTCTCCACTTTCCTTGTATTTCTGGACCAATCTTTCAACACGAACTTCATCCATGGCTCTGTTCCATGACAACCCTCTGTTCTGCTTTTGATGAACCTTCAGTCGATAGGTACATAAACTGTAGGTTATTGCCTTCAAAGGTATAGGAAGGCTGGGATTGCTTGTAAACAATTGCATGAAACATACACACAAACAAACAAGCAAATTAATATAAAAAA